CAGAGAAGGGTCTGGAAGGCAAGGGAACTGATAAAGGATTTTCCTGTCTTGCTCCCTTTAACAGAATCCCCTACGGTAGGTAGGAATTTCTGTCATCCAAGGGTGAATATAACTCATTTGGTTCTTGGAACAACCTGATGAGGTGTCTACTGCTAGGAATCCCATTTTACCCAGGCAGAAACTGAGCTACAGAATGCGTGTGTTTAGCATGAGAGAGCTTCTGGCTCTGGTCCCCTGAACCACAGGGAAAAAGAGAAAGAGAGAAATTCAGTGAGAGTGAAATGGAGAAATGTGCCCAGTGTTTTATCACTGGCAACAAATACTGTGGTTGCCAATAAATGCACACAGCTACGTGGCAAACGGCTTTGTCCCTGGGCGCTCTAACCCATTACGCTATATTGCTTCTCATATATTTTGGTTCTCATTTCTTACTTGAATTTTCATCATGAGGGTGTATTGAGATGATGGTTTTTGATACTAAAAGTTTATTGAAATAATAATTCTATCATCTACTCAAGACAATTCACTCAACATTCAGAAAGGGGTTCTCAATGAACAGGGAGCTGTCCTCATATTTGATCCATAATTTGAAGAAGTCATCTCAGGGAGGGGACATCAGGACAAACCCCCACATCTCCAATACTCACCCTTACCCTGCTCTCTGATGACCCTACAAGGCCCCACATATACTTTCTGTGATTCTCAAACTTCTTAGTCTTGGGATCTCTTTGCACTCTTAAAAAAAAATTATTGAGGATCCTAAATTAGCATTTGTGTATTTAAATTATATCTATCGACATGTAAGATATTAATTGGGGGATTGGGGTTGTGGCTCAGTGGCAGAGCACTTGCCTGGCATGTGTGAGGCACTGAGTTTGATCCTCAGCACCACATATAACTAAATGAATAAAATAAAGGCACATCAACAACTTAAAAATATTTTAAAAAGAATTTTTTAAAAAAGATATTAATTGGGTGCAGTGGTGAACACCTGTAATCCCAGCAGCTTGGAGGTTGAGTTAGGAGAATCACAAGTTCAAAGACAGCCTCAACAACTTAGCTGTCTCAAAATAAAAATAAAAAATTCTGGGGATGCAGCTCAGTGATTAAGCACCCCTATGTTCAATCCCTGATACATAAGAAGGAAGAAGAGATATTAGGAGTTAAAGCTGAGGAAAAAATATAATACTTATCATTTAAAAACAACAATAATAAGCAGGTTACATGTTAACACAAAAACATCTGTATGAAACTATTTGCAAAATAAAACAAAAATTTAATGAGAAGAATGGCATCATTTTACCTTTTTGCAAAGCCCTTGTTAATTTTTTAATTGATGCACTATAATTAGACATAGTCGTGGAACTCTGTGACATACTGGTACATGCACATAATGCAAAGCTCTTTTATGCTGGGTTCCACAGAAGGCAGCTGGACCATCATATCTGTTCTTGCATTTGGTCTGAAGCACATGAATAAATTCTATGAATAAGTAGGCTGCTATGCTGGACGCTGACCTAGGGGACAATGAGAGGAGGCTTCTCAAAGGGGTGACACACTGAATGACCAGAAATATAAAGGACCCATTCCTGCAAAGTCTCTGGAAATAGCATTCCAGACACCAGGCACAGCACTGCAAAGGCCCTGAGGCAGAAATAACTAGACAGTTTTTAAGAATGAAAGGAAGGATAGACTTCACACTGGCCCATTCTTTTTTTTTTTTTTTTTTTTTTTTTTGGTTTTGGTTTTGCTTACTGCCCAAAGATATTTATTTCATTAGGTGACCTCAAGCCATCTGCTGCATACTATCCTTTGTTCACAAATGCTTTTCTTTAGCTGACCCCCCACTAAATCCCAGACTCACACCCCAACCAACACCTCCATTGGGCCACCAAACAGGCAATGCTCAAAACTGTTCCTACCCAGCTCAGTTTAGGAATAAAGACCAACTAGAAATATCCAGCTCCACAATGACCCCAGCCCAGTTTCCAATAAATTTATCACTGACTGGGTGTTCCTTTCAGCACTGCAAAGCCTCAAAAATAATCCTGACATATTTTCCTTGGCAATATCAATCAAACACACACACACACACAAAAAAAAAAAAAAAAAAAAAAAAAAAAAATAAGGAACTGCTTCCAGAGCAGGCAAATTTGATTACAGAAGGTCCTAACTTAACAATGATTCAAGTTAAGATTTTTCATTTTCACCATGGTGGTGAAAGGGATATGGATTCAGTAGAAACTGTAATTTTAAATTTTGTTCTTTTTCCTTGGCTAGGGATGGGCTCTGTGGTCCTCACATGGGCAAGGCACCAGCATTGCCAGTGTTATGGATATTGTCTTTTAATATTTCTTAGTTGAGTAGGTGAACACACTACCTTTATTTATTTTTATGTGGTGCTGAGGATCAAACCCAGTACCTCACACAGTGCCAGGCGAGCGCTCTACCAAGGAGGTACAAACCCAACCCCAAGTTTTGGATATTTTGTTTTGGGTTTTTCTATCCCATCAAGTCTAACAAAATATCACGTGTGTCTCCTGCTGTGTGGGGTAAGTGAATACACATATAACCATTGTTTTTTTTCACTTTCAGTGTTCAGTAGATTACACAAGATATGCAACACACTTTATTATAAAACGCACTTAATGTTACATCATTTTGCCCAGGTGTAGGCTGGGCCAAAAAAAAAGTGTTCGGAGGAGGCGAGGCTAAGCTATGGTCTTGGATGGTTAAGTTCATTTACAACGCGACAGTTTTCTGGTGTAACTTTCTAGTAAGTGGAGGAGCCTCTGCACTTAGCACACAGCCTCGTGCCATGTCTGCAATTGCTGCAGCTCACTGGAACTGTCTGAGCTATAGGAATTCCCCAGGAACTTTTTTAAAACTTCAGTGCGTCCCTCATCTTCCCCCCCACCCCACCCCCAAAGCCCTGGATTCAAATGCTTTGGAGTAGGTCCCCAAGTGCCGGCGTATTTATTTACAGGGCCTCAGCACAGCAATCAGCAACCACCGGCAAGCTTAGGTTCGTCCCCACCCAGGCGTCTGAGCTCGTTTTGAATGCATTCCACCTACTGTCACACTGGTGGACTCCACTCCGCAGGCCTCCCCTTTGGGTCGCACTTGACCTCGCTAAGCCTCAAAGATATGCAACAGATTTACTGCGTGTATGGAGGGAGAGGGGGAAATCAGCAGTGCTTTGGAAGGATTAGAGAAGCACGGTAGCAGTTTCCTGGCGTGCAGAGAGGCAAAGTCAGCTCTGGGGAACCCGGGAGAGCAGAAGCTGAAGCCGGTCACGCGTAGCCCAGCACGCAACCCTGTAGCCACGCCACGCCACGCCATCAGCTGGGCCCTGGACTAAAAAGGTCTCTCAGGTCCCAGGAGAGAGGGGGTATTGGGCGGTGGGCGGGGACGCAAAGCGGAAGCAAAAGGGCAACGAGGGAGCTGGAACGCTCGGTTGAGGCACCGCTGGGATTCGAACCCAGGATCTCCTGTTTACTAGACAGGCGCTTTAACCAACTAAGCCACGGCGCCGCCCGTGTAAGCAGCGCGAGAAACTATTCCCCATCTCTAGTCACTCCATGAGCCACGCGCGTGCGCAGAGGCTTTTTGATATTTTGAGTTTTAGGCGGCGAGGAGGCTGGATGCCGGCGCATGCGTGGCGTACATGCTTGCTGGCCTCAGAGAACTCGAACTCCACATGGTGCGTGGGGCCTGGGCGGGCCTAGTTTCCCGGTGCCCGTAGCGTCTCCTCGACGGAAACCGGATACCTGCCTGTACCTTTATGGGGTCCTCGTTCAAGGTCTGCGATTTTTGCTCGCCAGACGCGGCGCAAGGGAGCCCCTGAAGGCTCCGGAGAACCCACAAAACGACTCCGCCGCGGGGCTGCTGGCTCGGCCCTCGGGACACCCTGGGGACTCCGGCCCCACCAGCGCCACGCCCTCAGCCGGAGCCGGCCGCCGTCCCTGCCAGCCCCCGGGGGCCCATAACTTCATTGGGGCCGCGTCTTCCTGAGTCAGGGTAGCATCACAGGGTACTCAGGGGACCCTGAGCTATCACAGCACCCAGATAGGGCAAGCAGGAGTCCTCCCACCCAGGCTCCCCTCTTGCTCCCCCGGGGTCTCCGCCCTCAGGCACACCAGCTACTTGTCCCAGCACTTTTCAGAGGGCTTTGGGGTAACACAAACGCGTGAAAGAGTCAGCCGCAGAACTGTTGAGTCTGTACAAAAATACGTGCACGGGAAGGCTCGCTCTAGTCTTTTTGTAATACCAACCTAGGTGCCCATCAGTAGGGGCAGTGTTCATATATGCTCTCTAGCTGTCCTCCACAGCCACAGTGATGACTACATCTGCAGTGTCTTCGCGTGTTGGAAGGCCTCAGAACTTCTGCAAGGAGGGAGGCCTCTTGCTGGGAAGGTGTAAGTGGAGTTTTGACAAGTTCATACATAAGTCGTTGTAAATAAGTGAATAAATACTAAGCAGCCAACTTGAATCTAAGCAATAACCCCACCCCACCTCCCACCCTGGTGACTCACAGGGAAGGCACTAAACATGGGGCCTCCCTAAATGATTCTCAGATTATTGTGCTAATGCACAAAATCTTTGGATGCCAAACAATGGACACTGTAAATCAGTCCTGCAATCAAGTTTCTAAAATGGAGCACAGAACATATTAATGATATTGGGCAAAAAAAAACATGTGAAACTCACCAAATGGAACAGGAGAATCTTCACATTTTTTAACGGAAAACTTCAGTCTTTCTGGATTGATCAATGTTCTACAATAAGCAGTGGAAGCAGAAAGACTGCTGCACATATGCATGGGAATTCTGGAAATTCAAAAGTCTGGGGCAGAAAGCATGAAACATCCTGTGGTGGAAATACCACACCACCTCTTGCATATTCAGACCTTCCTCTGCTCTAGGCAGATGGGCATCTGGGAGCATTAGCCAGTGTCTTAGTTGGTTTTGTGTTACTACAACAAAATACCTGAGTCTGGGTACTTTATAGAAAAAAAATATTTATTGAGCTCATGGTTCTAGAAGCAGGGAAGTTCAAGATCATGCAGTGACATCTGATTAGTGCTTCATATGGTGTCATAACATGGCAGATGGCATCACATGACAGGAGCACATGTAAGAACAGCAAGTAGCACATGTAGAAAAAAAAAAAACACAGGGGTGGCCTAACTTTATAACAATCTGCTCTTGAAGTAGCAAATTCAGTCCCCTGATATCTAACCCATTCCCAAGAGGCAGTTATTGATACCTTCCCATGGTGTGTCCGCCAATGGGAACCAAGGGTCCAGGATATGACCTCTTAAGGAACAAATCATAGTCAACCATATAAGCCACAATGCCTTGCCTCCTGACCCACAGAGGGGGGACCCCAACACATCTTCATGTCATTTGACAAACTCATCCTCGGGAAAAGCTGATACCAGTCCTAGAGGCCCAAGACTCCAGAATAGAGTCCATAACGCATCCCCAAAATGAGACAGAATGAACACCAGGACGTGAGCTTAGAAATAGCAAACTGCTTCTACAACTCATATGCACACTTGTTTTCCAAAGAAATCTAGATTTATTCTGCATGAAAACTGAAGTGTTCAACCCTCAAGGATGCTGTGGAGCTGAGGAGGTGGCCCTGCACTGAGAGCCCAGCCAGGGATTGGCCCCTGCCCCAGTCTGACAGGCCCACTCAGGTGGGGAGGGACCCTAAGAAGGATCCCTGCAGAGGGCCCCACAACCTGGGTGACAGGTGACCATGATCAAGTCAATGAAAGGGCCCAGTGGCCGTCAGTCCTCCTTGTTCTCTGTTTCTGATGATGATGAAGCCGCTGCTGGCAAGTCCATCGCATCTCTCCGGCAGAAGATACATTTGGTGACTATTTCAAACGAGCTGTCACTTTCCAAGGTGGAGAATGGCCTGTCACATCCTTCACACTGACATGAAATATTTTAAGAGCAGAAATGAGGTGGTCAGAAAAGATCAGGGCATTAAGTTGGAATCCTCCCCCCATCGTCTGGCTACTTTGGACTCAGCTGAAGTAAGGGCTCCCCTCTCAGGAGCCTCTAACCTCACAGAGTAGAGTCCACCCTACTGAGTGAACCCACACGGGGTTCTGCTCCGTCCCCCAACCCCTCCTCCAAGCTAAGCAGATGCTGCCAGCTCATGTCCCCTCCTGTGAGGGCCCTGAGGGCAGGAGTGGCAAGCCCCTGGGCAGCAGGGATGACAGGGCAGGTGTCCAAGCCTGTCTGGTGCTCTGTGCAGAGCAGAATTGTGGGAAAAGGGGGATGTCCTACCTCCCTGACATGCTAGGGAACACCCAACTTTTACCAAACCTCAAGAGGCAAGCACACAAGATTGCTGAACAAAACAGGGATTTCAACTAGACTGACATAGGTGCTGAGCACCCTCTTCTATCCTGAGCCTTTGTCTGACCAAAACATGTAGAATGGTGGACACAGATGGCACAGCTCACCACATCATCTGCAGCCTACTAAGGAGTGAGCAGTGCCAAGCAAGGGTGGGGGACTCTAAGGCCATGGCAGAGGCCAATCAGCCATTCCCACCCCAGCACAGTCTCCTTGGGACAGGCCTGCACAGTGGCATTCCCCTGTCCTGACACTCCAAGCCCCTGTGCTTTTGCCTCTTTTCCAGCACTCTGGCCAGCTGGGGGGGACTTGACAGACCCTGCCTGGGGCAGGCCTGTTGGGAAATCTGCCCTGAGGTTTCTCCTGTTGATTCAGAGCAAGTCAAGTGCAGTGGGTTCATCTTCGCTAGGTCTCTTTCTTCTTTCTTTTGCAAGAAAGATGTTTGATCCTTTACCTACCTTCTTCGGCAGCTCCAGGTCTCATGGAACAGTCTCTGTAGGTCCAACCCCAAAACAACAAGGCTCCCAGAGGAGGAAGCTCCAGGGCAAATTGGTAAGGGACAGAGACAATCAGTGCTTTGTGGCTAGTCAGCTTCCAGGGTCTAAGGACTAACATGGTCACAAAGGCCTTGAGGACTTGCTGGCCACAAAGACAAGGTCCATTTGGTCCCGTCTCTCACCTCCCTTTGCAACACTGCTCACAGATTAGCACAGTCCCAGAAGCAGTACAAGGACTTCTTTTTTGTACTGGAATTGAACACAGGGTTGCTTTATATATATGAACTATATCCCCAGCCCTTTTAATTTTCTTTCTTTCTTTCTTTCTTTTTTTTTTTTTTTTTGAAACAGAGTTCACTAAATTGCTTAGGGTCTTGCTAAATTACTGAGGCTGGCCTTGAATTTGCAATCCTTCTGCCTCAGCTTCCTGAGTTGCTGGGATTATAGGTGTGTGCTACCCCGTCTGCCACCCACTGTGCCAGCCAGAACCTCCGAGGGCTTAGTGGTAGAGGGGCACATCTTCTGCCTCTGTGGCTGGACCTTGCGGAGCCTGGTGAAGCAAAACATGGGCCCACCCTACTACCAACCACTTGCACTAGAGAAACATGGGCTCCTGAGCCTGTTGCATGGAAAACAGAGAACTGGGGGCCCAACCAGTTTCTGCAGCTGGAACATAGGAGGCTTACACAGTCCAGCTGTGTGTCCAGCCATTTCTCCACTGACCAGAACTCCCCCGGGCCCCATCTTCTCCAGGCCCTCTCATTCACTCCACTCCATCTGCCTGAGGGGCCCTGCACTGGCTGTCCCCACTGCTGGGAAATCCTTCCCCTAAATATCTGCCCAGCTCTCTCCTTTAACACCATCCAGTCTGCACATGTGTCACCTTCTCAGAGACCCCCACCTTTTGAAATATTGCAACTCCCAGCACTCCCATTGTCCTTTCCTCTGTTATTTATCTTAGAATTATGGATCACCATGTGACTTACTGCATACTTTTCTTGTGTCTTTATACCTTGTCTCCTCTTTTAGAATTTAAGCTCCACAAGGCAAGAAATTCACTCTGTCCACAGTTATTCCCCAGTTGCCCAATACATGTTAACTCAAAGAATAAATTAAACTGTACAGGGTTAATAAACATCTTCACTGAGCTTAATTTTACCCAATACCCACCTGTTTCACTAGTGTCCCCATAGCCTTTTGGTTCTCAATTACCAAAGGAACTTGGTCGATCTTTTCAATATTCCATAGTCTCATGGTCCTATCCTAAAACAGGTTAAACAGTAAACCGGCTGTCACAAAAAAAAAAAAAAAAAAAAAAAAAGACTGTGGTACATCCTTACAATGGAATATCATTCAATGGCCAAAGGAAACATGCTGTCAAGCCACAAAAAGACACAGAGAAAACTTAAAATGCACATTATTAAACCAAAGAAGCTATTCTGAAAAGGCTACAGACTACATAATTCCAATGATATGATATTCTTGGAAAGGGAAAACTATAGACAGTAAAAAGAGCAGTGTTTTCAGGAGTTCTGGGGAAGAGGAGGAAAGATTTTTAGGGTAGTAAAACCATTCCACATGCTACCCAGTAGTGGGTACATGGCATGCACTTGGTAAAACCTATAGACTGTATAACACAGAGTGAAACAATATAAACTATGAACTTTAATTAACAATTCCAGAAAGGAATGCAGTCTTGTTGAAACCTTGATTTTAGTCCAGTGAAACTTCGTTGGACTTCTATCCTATGGAATGTTAAGACATTAAATTTGTGTTGTTTCATGTTTAAACAGTGCCATCTGTGGTAATTTTTTATTGCAGCAATTTTTAAAAATCTAATAAACTGAATAATGTTACAGTTCCTACAACAGTTGTAACTAAATGTCTTACAGAGAAACAATGGGAAGTTCAGGGAACAGGCGTGTTGGCCCCTTGCAGTGCAGAGTTGTCAGATTTTACCAACAATCACAGTTTCCGCATATCAAATGGTTTGTCAAATCAGGGCAAAAAAGAAAAAGAAATGTTCCCCATAGTTCCTAGATACTTTGATTCCAAAGTTGGAGTTTCAGATTCTCTCCTGGATTTCCATAAAGATTATTTTACTTTATTTTTTGGTATTGGGGATTGAACCCAGGGGTACTTACCACTTTACCATTGAACTACATCCCAGTCCTTTTTATTTTGAGGCAGGGTCTAAGTTGCAGAGGCTGGTCTCCAACTTGTGATCCCCCTGCCTCAACCTCCTGAGTCACTGGGATTATAGGGATTTGTCACAGTGCCTGACTTTTATGAGGATGTTAATGAATCTGCAAAAAAACATTTTTTAAAAGCATGCTGAGGGGCTGGGGATGTGGCTCAAGTGGTAGAGTGCTCGCCTGGCATGGGTGCGGCCCGGGTTTGATCCTCAGCACCACATACAAACAAAGATGTTGTGTTTGCTGAAAACTAAAATGTAAATAAAATATTTTTTTTAAAAAAAAGCATGCTGATATTGGGCTGGGATTGTGGCTCAGCCTAGCATGGGCGGGACCCGGGTTTGATTCTCAGCACCACATAAAAATAAAGGCATTGTGTTGTGTCCATCTTCACCTAAAAAATAAATGTATTTATAAAAAAATCAATCAGGGTAAATAATAAAATATTTAAAAAGAAAAGAAGCATGCTGATATTTATCTAAACACAAACTCATTTATCTACATATTCAGCAGAAAGTGAAAATGTAAACTTTGGCAAACTCCGTTCATTCTATAAACTTTTAATGAAAGTAAATGAAAAGCTAAATGTCCAGCACACCTTGCATCACACATTCCTAAAAAGGAATACAATTTATTTGCCTATAATGTTGGGTCTTTCATAGTAAGAGTTTGGGGTACTTTTCACCTTCCTCAATCTGTATGAAGTACTAAGTTGATTTCAGAAATGGAAGGAGACATCTCCTTTAAACATGTGCCTACCACTTGGCTATTATCATTTCTAGCTATCAAAAGAAGTTTAAGTGATGACTTGCTGCAAAAATCATATTTTTAAGGTATAGAAAAAGATGAATATTACATAATTTTGAAATACATCAAGGATGATAACCAAGAAAAGAATAACCATAACACAAATTTATTTACTAGTTTTCTAAAACTATTTGATGATCTTTGAAGAGGCCATCATGAGTCAAAAAAAAAAAAAAGTGATTGCACCTGAGTTGTTCAATGTTAGTGCAGCTTATGGCAAAAATTATATGGTGTAAAGTTGCTCATTTTCTGAAAAATACTATAATTTATTTGGAATCCAACTAATATATCACAAGTTCAAATTACCTCTGTGCTTTAAAACAATTTTCCCTGAGAAAGCAAGATCTAAACTATGATGTCATCCAATGTGCTTCAGAATGTTTAAAAATAATGGACATTTTACATGGGTGCAGTCTGCTGATGAAAATCTGAGGGCAAAGGATCTGGATGACAAATATCTGGTCTATTAAAACAAGCCTGTAAACTAAGTACACTTGGATGTTTTTGGAGAGCTGAAAAGTAATTCCTACAAAGCTAAAAACCTGATGTTGCTAGTAAGAAATTTTTAAGTATTCCATGTACAAATCCTTTTGTTGGGAGAATATTTAGCTTTATGTTCTGGGCTGACCTAGGAATTGCTATCATGTGAACTTGATAAAAACAGAGCTGCAAGAATTTTGTTTGACAGGTTTCAGCTTCACCTTTTCATGAAAGAAAAGTATGTCCTAACTGGGCACGGTGGTACATATCTATAATCCCAGTGATTTGGGAGGCTGAGGCAGAAGGATTGCAATTTTGAGACCAGACTCAGCAATTTAACAAGGTCCTAAGCAACTTAGGGTAGAGTGTCCCTGGGTTCAACCAGAAGGAGGAGGAGAAGGAGGCAGAGGGTGGGGAAAAGGAGGAGGAGGACCTGAAGAATCAGGCAGTTCAAAAAAGTATGAAAAAAGAAAAGTAAAAAATATCCTGCTATATTATGGTCAAAAAGAAATATGTCATTGTTAGGTTTATTATGGTAAAACATATAAAACATTATCATTTCAGTCATTCATAATCATACAGTTCAGTGACACTTAAATACATTCACCACATTGTGTTACCATCACCACTATGATCTCAGGGTTTTTTATCATTCCCAATAGAAACTCCACTATCAATAATAACTTCCCTTCACCACTCCCTCCAGCCCAGGCAAACACCATTCTACCTGTCTTTACGAATGTAACAACTCTACGTCCCTCGTGTAGGTGCATTCATACAGTATCTATCCTTTGCAACTGGCTTAGTTCATTTAGCATAATGTCTTCAAGGTCCATCAAGGTTGTAGTATGTCAGAACTTCCTTCCTTTAATGGTCAAATAATATCCTATTTTATGTATATGTCACATTTTGCTCATCCATCATTCATTCATTGGTGGACACTTCCTTCTATCTTTTAGCTACAGTCAATAATGCAGCTATGAACATGGGTATACAAGTATCTTCTTGAGTCCCTGCTTTCATTCTTTTGGGTATATACCCTGCAGTGGAATCGACAGGTTCTGTGGTAGTTTAGTTCTACATTTGACCTTTTGAGAAACTGCCAAACTGTTTTCCATGGCAGCGACACTCCTTTACATTCCCACTGGCAAATGCACAAGGGTTCCAGTTTCTCCACATGCTTTCCAACATTCCACATGCTGTCCACTGTGGTTTTGACTTAGATTTCCCTAAGGACCACTGATGTTGAGCACCTTTTCATGTGCTTATTGGTCAGCAGTTTAATCTTCTTTGAAGGAATGTCTATTCGAATCCTCTGCCTATTTTTGGATTGGGTTTTTAGTTGTTGTTGTTGGGCTTTAGAAGTTCTTTATATACTATGGACATGAATCCTTAAGAGGTACATGATTGGCAAATATTATCTCACTCTGTAGGTTGTTTTTTTTTCTGTCTTAATAGTATCTATTGACATAAAAATTCTTTGATAAAGTCCAACATATTTGTGTATGTGTGTGTGTGTGTGTGTGTGTGTGTGTGTGTGTGTGTGTCTCTTGTTCTTATATTCGTAAAACTGTTGCCAAACCCAATATCATGAAGATTTTCTCGAATGTTTTCTTTTAAGAGTTTTGTAGTTTTAGTTCTCAAGTTTAATTCGTTTTGAGTTAATTTTTATACAGTTGTCCCTTCGTATCCACAGGGCATAGGTTCCAAGATTCCCCAAGAATACCAAAATCCATTGTTAACTGAATCCATGGATATAGAACTCAGGAAAATAGAGGGATGCCTGTATATGGTACAAGGTACAGGTTCAATTTCATTATTTGAATGAGGATATCCAGTTTTCCTAGCACGATGTTATTTACTAGTTTTCTAAAACTATTTGATGATCTTTGAAGAGGCCATCATGAGTCAAAAAAAAAAAAAAGTGATTGCACCATGTTGAAAAGACTGCTTTTTCTCCCAAAATCAATTGAACAAATAAGTTAGGGTTTATTTCTTGATTTGCTATTCTATTCTATCTATCTATATGCCTGTCCTATGCCAGTACCATATATTTTTGATTGTTTATTTTGGTACTAGGGATTGAACCCAGGGGCACTTAACCACTGAGTCACATCCCCAGCCCTTTAAATTTTTTTTTTTTTTAATTTTGAGACAGGGTCTTGCTAAGTTGCTTTGGCCCTTGCTAAATTGCTAAGGTTGACTTGCAATCCTCCTGCCCCAGCCTCCAAAGCAGTTGGGATTATAAGCATGCACCACTGCACCCAGCTCAGTACCACAATTTTTTTAAAATATTTTTTTAGTTGTCAATGGATTTTATTTTATTTATTTATATGTGATGCTGAGTATGGAACCCAGTTCCTCACACATGCTAGGCAAGTGTTCTACCACTGAGCCATAACCCCAGCCCAGTACCATACTTTTAATTATTGTAAATCTGTGGTTAATACTGAAGTCAAAGAAGAGTGAGTCATGCACCTTTTTCCTCTTTTTTTCCTCCACCTCCTCCTTCTTCATTCCCTAGGACCCTTCAACTCCTTAAGAACTTGAAGATTGGCTTTGCCATTTTTGTGAAAACAGCTGTTAGAACTTTGATAGGGGCTGTTTGGGATCTATAAATCACTTTGGGGACTGACTTCTTAAAAATGGGAAGTCTTCCTATTTATGAATGTAGGATGTCTTTCCATTTATTTAGGTCTTCCTTAATTTGTTTCAGCTTTCTGAGGCCTTTTTAAAATCATAAATGGGTTTTGGATTTTTCAAATGCCTTTTCTGTGTCAATTCAGATGATCAGGTGTGGTTTCCCCCCTTGTTCTATTAATGTTGTATATTATATTATATTAATTGTATTTAATTAAATTTATATTGAAGTACCGTTGTATTCCAAGGAATGGTAAATAATGGTTTTATTTGCTAATATTTTGCTTCTGTTTTCATAAGGGATATTGATCTGTAATTTTCCTGTGATATATTTATCTTGTTTTAGTATCAAAGTAATGCTGGCCTCTTAGAATTTAGTTTTATATTAGTATCTATTTAATCAGTTTAGTTACATTTATGTTCTCTTTTTTCAAAAGTCTTACATCTTACATCTATATCTTTTAAAATATACAATAACATAGCCTACAAATGTAGCTGTAATTTTCTCTTCTTGTGATATTTTCATTGGACTTTGGTATCAGAATAATGCTGGCTTCACAGAATGAGGTCTTTTTTTAATATTAAAAGTAAGTAGCATCTGTTCAACTAGTGCTGTTGTATTTTAAGTTCTCTTTTTAAAATAATGATATATCTATGTATTTTAAGAATATATATTGCCAGATATGGTGTTGCATGCCTATAATCACAGCAGCTCTGGAGGCTGAGACAGGACAATTGTAAGTTCAAAGCCAGCCTCAGCAAAAGTGAGGCTCTAAGCAACTCAGTGAGACCTCGTCTCTAAATAAAATACAAAATAAGGCTGGGGATATGGCTCAGTAGTTAAGTGCCCCTGAGTTCAATTCCCATTACTCAAAAATAAATAAATACATATTATAAATATTATATATATAAATAAATAAATATTTATAAATAATAAAATGGGCTAAGAATGTGGCTCAGTGGTTAAGTGCCCCTGATTAAATACAGTATCAAAAATTAATTAATTTAATTAATAAAAAATAAAATGGGCTGGGAATGTGGCTCAGTAGTTAAGTG